AAAAGAAACTAGATTTTCGTAGCATGAAAGTGCAAATGTTCGATTTTTGTAAACCGCTCAAAAGTAACAGTTGAAATTCGTGATTAGCCTCTATGACTACGCAACTGGCAGAATACAAGACAAAATTCGACCAGCAAAAGCTCACTCTCGTCCAATGAAGAAACTCGTTTAGAGACGTGCCGTTTACTTCTGTGAAAACTCCTTCTATTCAACGAAGATAAATTTCATGAATACCACCAAGATGTAGGTGACAAAAGGTATTGCTATGGTGTGAAATTATTCCTTTGGAATGCTTTCCTTCACGTTCTTGGGCGACCCTGGTTACCTTACGAGACTCTTACAGGAACAAGTTGTTCACTATTATCAAACCCGGATTAGAAAACGCACGTTCTTCACATTTGCAAATTAAATCGTAGCGAACGAGACAGAAATATTCACAGTGGCCCCATATTCATGATGAATAGAATGTTTCGAGTCAAAACGGCATACGTGGTGGACCAAAATAGACAGTGTCGTTGTCACGCTTATAGGCACTGCGCCAAACTCACTGTGAATTTGAATTCCTGAACTTTCGTGTTACTGTCGGTAATGTTTTAACATCTCCATTACACATTAGAATACATAACTAACAAGTTATTTCGCCCTTTTCTTTCGCACTGACATAGTTGTCTTACGGCGCGTGGAGTATTACGCGCACCTCCAGTGCGTGAAAAATGCACATGGTCAACTACATTTGTTGGTGACAATATGAAAACTGCGAGATTTTTTTTTGGAAAATTGTTATTGATTCCTGTACACCCCCACCCGAATTCGTGTAATTAGCGAGAAAACTCCTGAGCACCACTGAGAAAAGCGAACATATATCTTCCAACACTGCGCACCTTACGTGTATCGAGTTTGTGTATTTGCCGGCTCAGGCGTTCCACGTTAGAAGCGTTAACACGCCATGTGGTCGATGTCATCCTCTCCGGTGTCAAGCGGACCTGAAGTATGTCACTATCGCTGCCAAGAAGACTCATCGCCCTTAAATATATTGATCAAGTCGCTTACGACTTCGGAGAAAACCATCGGGGGGCGTTGAGGGTCGGCGCTTTACCCTCGAAAGGAGTGACTGTCCAAGAGACTTCTCCATTTATACACATTAATGGAAGGCTTTAGTGGCGCTAGGCTAGGCTACATAATGAGATGGTCTAGCAGAACACAACAAGAGAAAAAGAGACGCTCATGAGAGAAACAAATAACGATGATGGTCAGCTTCCATTCACATAGCAAAAGTACGAACACGATCCTGATCAGTTACTTGTACATGATAGGTGCGTGGAGACAAGTACACGGAATAGTTGTACGTAGGCGTTATGTTGAAGCCGCATCTTCATATCTGCCACTCAACCATCGACAGTATGCAAATATTACCCTTCAAAAGGTGTAATGAGCGAATGGAAATGCTCAATATGCCTCATATTCTACTCAAACGGTAGTCAGTCTTTCTCCTTTGAACCATATCGCATGCGTACAATACGAGCGTGCTCCTTCGGGCCATATCCCATGCGTACAATACGAGCGTGCTCCTTTGGACCATATCGCATGCGTACAATTCCGAGAATACGTTTTTCGGCTTAGCCAAGCGGTGGACAATACCAGTCTCCCCCTCAGGAAGCACTCGAACTTCTCGCACAGTATCACGGTGCTCGGCTCCTCAAATGCCCATAATCATCTCATTCGTTCTTCTCTCAATCCTACCTTTGGTCAAGTGCTTGGATGAGGAAACTGTGGAGTTGGCTTTCATGGGTTTTCAACATAAGTAAGGTGGCAATCAGATCGTATTGCATTATGATGTTTTGATTTGCAGGTTCGGTAAAAATTACGAGTCTAAGGAGGAAGAAGTCAAAAGGAATGCCATCTTTCAAGCCAACCTCCATCACATCGAGCATGTCAACGCTAAAAGTGAGTAACATCATATCGGCCATTAGCCGAGTGTCGAGCTATGCAGATCTGTCTTACAAGCTGGGCGTCAATGAGCATGCGGACCTCACACACGAGGAGTTCGCCGCTCTGAAGCTCGGCACTTTGGAGATGAGTACGAGAAGGGATGATAAGTTTGTTGTTGAAGGTGGGACCAGCTGAGCATGCCAGCTTGAGCCTCTTTGTTTCAGCTGACACTACACAGCTCCCAACTTCGGTGGATTGGAGGAATAAGAGTGTATTATCCCCAGTTAAGAATCAAGGTTCCTGTGGGAGCTGCTGGGCTTTCTCCGCGGCCGGTAATTTCCTTGGACGTGCTTGTGTGAATCTTTGCAATTTTCAGGTGCTCTCGAGGCGCAGTATGCCATCGCTACGGGTAAGCTCCGGCCACTCTCCGTGCAGGAGCTTGTGGATTGCAGTTCCAGCTATGGGAACAAGTAAGTGGCACCACATGCCTGTGTTTCTCATTGCATATTGATGCCATATTCTCTCGCATTTTCTCATTGCATTCTCTTGTGCATATTTCCTGTGGGAAACTTTTACACTGTTCTCATCTCAGGGGTTGCTTAGGAGGCCTCATGACGAATGCTTATAAGTACATAAAGTCAGCTGGCCTCGATCAAGAGTCAACCTACCCTTATAAAGGTTGGAACAAGCACTGTTTCCGCTCCAGTGAGAAAAAGGCTGACGGCATCCCGGTAAGATTTGTACTCAACCGTACTATCATCCTTTTGACAGGCTGGCGAGGTTACCGGCTCTCACATGCTAGCTCAGACTGAGCAGAGCTTGATGAAAGCGCTGGCGGCTGCTCCGGTCTCCCTCGCCATGTATGCCCGGGATCGTAATTTCCGCTTTTACCGTTCCGGAGTGTATTCGTCTAGTAAGATTTGCGCCCAATGCTGATGTGCACAGAATATTACGGGTTTTAGCAACCTGTAATGGAGAGATTGATCACGGTGTTGTGGCGGTTGGATATGGCGCCGACAAAGGATCAGAGTAAGATCGAATAATATAAATGTTCGCTGCAATTTTTGTCTTGTCAGTTACTTCATTCTCAAAAATTCTTGGGGATCCTCCTGGGGCATAGGTGGATACTTCTATTTAAAGCGGGGAGTTGGTGGTTTCGGTGAGCTTCCACACTCATCATGACATCCGCGAAATCGTTTTCTTCAGGTGAATGCAAAATTCTCGAGAATATGTGTGTTGCGACGCTCAAGTCTCGCTAGATCCGCTGGAAGATTCAGTATCATCACGATTCGTCAATAGCCATCATGAGAATTTGCTCTCAATAA